CTGATGGGACAGGGCACACTGAAACAGTTTGCATCTCCCTCTGCTCATACAGGGCTTGTATCAGGGTTTTGATGCTGCATTAGCCCAGTGATGATCTGGTGTGTAACGTGTGAGATTCGCTGGTTTCAGGTTTGGACCTACGATGACTTACTGGCACATGATCCAAACCAAGAGTCTTCTGGCCACCGGCACCACAAATTTGATGTGGGATATGGAAATCCAGCTGTGCTCTGCCATCAGCAACTCAACAGTTTCCGATTTTGTCTCACTACTCTACGGATGATACATACGGCAGACTTGACTCCAGCTGGCCCTATTGTATTGGATCTACAGCGACAGACAACAGGAGCCAGAAACTTTTTGTTCAAGTAGAGCCAGCAGATGTGACACTGAATAAACACAGACAGTCAATCTGCTGAGTAAGAAGGTATCGTTCATATAAATAACATACATCTAATCCTGCTTCCATTTTAAACCCAAATATGGGAATGCAAGATGCTCAGCGCTCTCTAGATTTATGCTTTGAACAATGAGATAGAGCAAAAGCAGATAACACACAGCCCCTCTGAGCTCAGTTTAATTCTTATTTCACTTTTCCTTTGAATTATTTTCAGATCCACCACTTTCTCCACGAAGAGCTTCCCACAGAGCGTTAACAGTCTGTCCAGACTAATGTCAGATGGGACAAGTTAGCCTTATAAAAATATCTGCTGGTCCCTACTGCTTCTCCCAATGGACCTTAATTACAGAGCAATTAAAAGTATTACTCCAATCATTTTAACCTCACACATTTTGAAAATAGGCATTACACCCACTGAGGGGTTTCTCGTGGTCTCAGCGACAGGACTCGGCGGGTTTGACCTCTGAAATGACACATTTCTTGCTTATTGGAAAAGTTTGCAAATTTGCAGCTGCCAAAAAAATTATTTCATTAGAAAGCCAGTAATTATATGAATTAGCACACAAGAAAACCTGCCCTTTAGAGGTTACATGCAATATTGGCACAAGGTCAGAGCCTTGTTTCAATACCTTATGCACTCAGAAAACAAGTAAAATTGGTAGGTAAGTTTGATACAGATAATTATTCTACCAGAACCCACTAAACATAAAACTGGAGCAGCTGGCTTCCAACTACCCCTGTCACATGCCTTGCACAAGCACACGCTTTCTTTTTGAGACATCACAGACTGCAAAGTATGGCTATAACACAATCCAGTACTCAGTATGCATCCCTTGAGATTAATGCTCAAGAACCTCTAAAAGACAAGGAAGTTTTTAATTGTGTTAAGAATTTGCTTTATTGAAAAAAATAAATGAGTAAGAGAGGACTGTTACTGAGACTAATTATACTTGATATCACTGTGCTTCGCTTCCCCCACTCAGAGGGATCACTTCATCCTTCCTCAAAACACAGCCACCAGTAGGATGCAATGATGTAACACACAGGAATTATAAAAAAGGATGTAGAAAAAAAAAATATTATTACATTTCCCAGCACTTTCCATGGGATCAACCTCCATTCTCATTACAGACTCATTTATCTACTTTTTTTTTTTTTTTTATTTGATAGAGAGCTCCTCCAAGACAAACAGCAATTTATTTGTTCCCCAAGAACCCCGGGCCTGAAAGATGCAGCCATCTGTCAGTGGGAAAGAGCTCTCTGTAAACAGCTGCTTTCTCATCAAACCCTTTCTAGATCTTAATTTGTCACCTAAATTATCAAATGAAACCAAACAGCCTTTAGCTACAGGGATATAGAAAGTATTTTAAAGCACACATCAGATACACAGAGAACAGCAAGGAGGTCAATCAACAAAGCACTTTTATGGTCTGAGAAGTGCTTCCCGTGAGCCCAGGTGTTCGTATCTCTTTTGCCAGGAGACTTTTCCAGGGAAAGAAGTAGAAGGTGTACTGAAGCATCATTATCGTATAAATCAAATTCCCAAAGAAAATGGACAGAGGGTATTTCCTTCCTTGGACAGCCACCAAGCCATTCCTGAAGACCATGAAGTTCAGACCTATTCTTATTAGGCACTACAGAAGGACATCAAACTTCCCTCTTTTGTTGAGGTTCAGTCTGGGGTCCAGAACTGCTTGAGGCACTGAGACCTTGACAGCAGTCTCCAGGATAAAAATGAGCCACTCTGATTTTGCCCACCCTCTCCACCCCGAGGTCTCCCCTTAGGAGAACCTTGTCAAAAGCTGTCTGGAAAAATTAAGTTACACCAGCTGACTACTCTGTACCCCCAACCTTACCAACCTCTTCAAAAAAACTTCTAACAATCTGAAAAGAGGACAACGGGAAAGTAGAAAAGCAGGTGGCTGAGCCACAGCAGGGATCATCTCATAGTTCAGAGCAGGTACCCAATTCAGATAGCTTACCCAAAGGTCTAGACACCCTCTATGTTCAATGGAGCATGACAAATAAGTTAATTGCCCTCAAGGGTAGAAGATATTCAGCTCTGTAAAACGTAAGAAAGAAATTCACAAAGGAGGGGAAAAGTGAACCTTTCAGGAACCTAAAATACCTGTTCTGGAACCAGACTTGCTTACTGCTGGAGGTAACAAAACAAGTAAACAGAATTAGAGGTTTTGGATACACAGTGAAACCAGACTGAGTTATAAGGCTCAATTTAAATTGCTTCATTATACTACCACAACCATAGTGTGAAAGTGCTTACCTCATCCCAAATATGAACAAAATGCATTCTCCCTGAACCTGTTTTATAACCGCAAAAACTAAAATTGCTAACTCGATTGAGTTCACTAATACCCCCAACACTTTGGAAATACACAAGAAGTAGGTTTGGGAAGTCTGTCTTTTTTCTGTATTAATGCCGTTGTAAAAACGAATAGTTTGGTCTTGCATTATGCACAGTGGGTTACCCTGCTTAAAAAAATTAAACTACTTATATACACACACGCTATAGGCCTAAATGGAGATTGAGAAAGGTGATTATTATTATTAGAACATGGAAACATTCCCAAAGGAAGAGAAATTTTAAACAGAACTGGATAGATGATCTCCACCCAACAGAATTTTCCCCCAAAAAGAGGAAAACAAAATAAACAGAGGCACAACAAAACCCCCCAAAAAGATGAGCAGAATCACCTGTTTCTTTTTTCCTACCATAAGAAGTTCTCTTCCAAGTGACCTCAACTCAGGACCTCCTGGTGTAGCTGCCTGGAGCCCAGGACCCGTGTTTATGTTCATATATCCCAAGCACATCCTGTCCCAGACATCAGGCCCCAGAGCAGTAAGCTGGAAAGTGCACACCCTTATGGAAACCTACCAAATATCAACTCTGCAAATATTGCTAGTGCAAATTAGCCTGATTAGAGAGGGGTGTTTCAATGTTTGTCTGGATCCATATATTTCTGAGCCTCAGTTTCCCCACTGTCTTTAGGTGTTTAATTAGCATTCTCAGCGCATTACAAAAACGGCCAAAGACATCCTTCCTTGTACAACATCCCATTCCCTTTTGCAGGCGAAGTATCCTCTCCTTCCCTCCAAAAATTATCACTAGGTAGTGAAGGCCCTTTGCATCAGTTTATGAATTTCAAAATCAAAATTATGAAAATAGAGAGAGAGCGCTCACAAACTACATACAATGGCTTCTGCATCACCACAAATGCACACCGGAGGATTCCCCATGCTGTTAAACACACTGCAATATGCATTGTGTTGCACTTAACACTAAATCTCTGCTAAGGTAAGAACAGCACCAAGCCTTTAAGGGGTAATATAGTTTTCATTCAGACATACATGCTTACCTCCTCTTTAAATAGCAGCTTTAGCACCTGCAAAGTGCACTGCATCCTCAGGTAATATTGTGATTTCCACTCCCTTTTATCATAACACAATGGCTAACAGTCTCTTTGGAATTGCAACGTACTTTTGCTAGCAGGTTATGTCTCTAGGCTGAGCTCCGTATCACGGTCGGTGGCTTTTGAAAATTGATCTCAAACTTGATCTGAAACTGTCCTTTTACATGAGAAAGTATAATCTTCAATGTGATGGTGTAAGAACAGCTGCTTTATTGTCTGCTGTTCTCTTGGGGACACATACAAAAGGTACTAAAAATTAACAACTTATGTTTTTCAAAAAAATCTAGTTGATTTAGAAGGAAAAGATTATTTAAAGTTGCATCAGGTCTTTTCCACCTCCTCCATCACAGTGTGTAAGGAACTGGACTCAGTTCACCACTAGCTACAGTAAGCAGTTCCATTCCCTGTGTTTTCAGGATTGTTTGCACATGTTTTCATCTTACACTACTACACCTCAAAAACAAGTTAAATAGAGAAAAGAAACAAGAAAAAAGAAAAGGCAGCTGCCCTTCACTGAAAGCAAAATCCTAAGTTTTCCAGCCAACAGGCAGAATTTAAGATGATCAGTAAAAATACTTCTTCGAAAGGATTCCCCACAACTATTAGCTCAGTATTTTATGAAAGCAGGGAAATGCAGTAATGCTGGACAACACTAAATGAAACATAAATGGACCAGAAACCCAAAAGCCTGTTACAAACAGGGTAATAAGTAAGGAAAAACTAGAACCCCTTGCTCAGAAAAGGTCTTCTTGAGTGCAGCCACTGAAAAACTGTGGTGCGAGCCCACCCAGATCATACTGCAGCTCATTTCCTCCACTAATTTCCTCCATTAATATTTGCTCTCTCGTCTACTCTTCTGCATTTTTTTCTTGCATGAATTTTCCTTCTGAGAAGGCGGCATCACTGGCAAGTTTGACTGAAACCAGTTCTCAGTTCTGACCAGTTACTAGAGGGAGATGCGAGACTGACAGATGTGGACTCACTGATGTCCAATAAAGAGTGAGTTTCTGCTACAGATTTAACAAAGCTCAGTTAGGCAATCAATCAACTGTGAGACACAAATCCACTGGAAACTCGGCTTCATTACTTCTGCTGTTCACAGAAGAAATTGTTTTTAATCCAAACCTGTCTAATAAAGAGTACTTTCAGAAAACAAGGTGCGTATACATTACCTCAGTAACGAAGAGAGTGCGCGGATCAATGATGTCCAAGAAGTGCCTGAATCTGCCATAAAATGAAGTCTGAAAGACAGGAAAAAAAACAAAATGCGTTCAGTTCGAAACTGCTGCAGAGAAAGGTTTCATTTCCCCTGCAAACTAAGTAGCAACTAAAAAGAAATCACATAGAAGCTATTCACTGGTAATTTGTGATAGAAAGCCTGAAAGGACCCTGCTAATAGTGTTGCTATTAACAGGATACCAATATAGATGCTTCAATAAAGGGATACTATGAAGCTGCTAAAATATCCTTTACTTTTTCCCCAAAATTCCCAGGAGATGTCTCAGGCCACAAAAACCCAACAGTGCCACTCTAGACCTCCCATGCTGAGCGATGCTGTCGAAGGAATTCCCAGCCTGCAATGTTTTTAACACCGTCCCTATGTTGTTTGTCCTCATTCCCACTAGCACCCATCTCACAGGACCAGAAGCACCACAGGGTCCCTGATCTGGGGGAAGAGACTAGTGTGAAGAAACTCCTGCACCCATATACTGCTGGAAAAAAAAAGGTATGTGAAATTATATTTTCAAATGCTCTAAAGAGTTTAAAGTCTCAACAAGGGACCAAGTAGTTTTCTCCTTGATGAGAAGAATGAGAAAGGTAAAAGATGAGACAAAGTACAAACCCAGTTTTATGTCTTACATTTACTGCAGAATTGTTCAGGCACTAAACCAGGGCTGGGTTTCATTGTGTCAGTCCCTACACAAACACAGAACAGAAGATGGACTGTGAACCTTAACGTATGCAAAAGAAACCATAACTTTATGGTTTGGGCTTGTTCTTAGTTGCAGATTTGGAAAAATCCAATCTAGATGTGCACATATAGGCATAATGCTGTGCAAAACCTGGTGAAGATGCCTTTGTCGGGAGCAGCAAAAGTGTCTAAAGGACCAGAAAGGGATCTAGAGAACTGGGAACAGAGCCTGAAAGAAAGCAGAAGGTATCTGTGAAATAGGCTGGAGAGATCATGGACAGCTCCAAAGGAAAAGAGAGCAGTTTTGACTCAGTATTCAGGTGGGAGGGATTTAAAAAAAAAAAAAAATTTAGGCAAGCCCAAAGCACCAGATCATGAAATATTGACATATTAAGAGCACTCAGCATCCTTGTACATCATCACACAAACATCGGTCTGCAGTCTTTTATCAGGATGCAGATGTATGCCAAGTGCCGGAGCTGCCTTAGTGCAGCCTCAACTCTCATCTGGACATCAGCAAGGCGAAAAGGACATGGGGCTGCCTGGTCCAGGGGCTGCTCTTTCTCCTGTGGCTTCTCCCCAGCAGAATTTTTACCAGGAATATGCAGCCCATCACAGATACAGAAAGGACACAGATCACAGACCTCCACGTGCTCTTGAATATTGGGACCCCTTTGCCCTGGATGCTCTACAGCCACGTGCCGGCAAATCTCTTTTTGCATTTGTAATGCAGAAGCATGCTATAAATAAAGGGCTGGAATATAGATAAAGCAGCGAGAATGGCATTTAATCACAGCCTGGCATAATTTTATGAAACATGCTGGTTCTTCTCTGCTGAATCCATCGAGCACAGAGAAATACCAATAATACTGCCCACTTACTCAGGCAGAAATCCCTCTCTAATGGCAGTTTCCAGCAACACTGCTGTCCACCACCTTACATTGCAACACCACGTTCTCAGCTGCTTACAAGACTCACTGCTGTTATTTTTCCATGTTCTGCACTAAAAAAAGAAAAACCCACAACTAAACAAAATAGCTTCACATAACTTCAGAAAAAAAAGCCCAGTGGTTTTTAATTAGCATTGATTTAATTAACACTAATTCTGGTACTTTCTAGCTTTTGCGAGCTTGACATTTTTCTGCCTTACTTTTATTTCCAATATAGAGATCTCTGCAGATGTCACTGTCCTCCACATCACTACTGCCCAATGCTTGCCCATGGTGCAGGGAGTGACATGACTAACACATGACTCACTTGGTCCCTCGTCATGTTATCCTCAGTGCTCCCACGTACCATCGTCCCTCTCCCACTGCCCATCCTTCTGCACTTGCTCAACACCGAACAGCCGTAAGAGAATTCAGAGCAGTTCTGAGTACATGGTTTAAACAAGAACAGAAGGGGAGGATTTTTAAATTTGTGGCCTCGACTTTTCACTGCATTTATCATTGTGATATGCATTTCGCAGTGAGAAAAGACAATATTAAATAGAATTAAATACAGCATCAGTATTTTACACCCACTTTACAAATGTATAAAGCACAAGGAAGGGGGAATGAGACCATAAGTTCAAATGTGCATGATTTAAATGTTATTTAGAAGTACGGATTTAAATTTGCAAAGCTGCAGAGGCTCTCAGGAAGCCAGCCCTGTAGCCCAGGGTCATTGTTGGTTTGATTTGGGTACCCTGCTGGCGTCCTGGTCTGATCTTTGCCTGGTGCAACCTCAGCGACACCCAGCTAAGGGCACATTTCAGCAGCTCAAACCCATCCTGCCACAATCCTGTTCCCACCCCCACTCCTCCTCTCCTGCCCTGTGCCAGTGCTAACGCTCTCCCAATGCTGCAACCGTCTGATTGGGGAGCTAAGAGTGCCAAAAGCCGAATCCTTAAATGAGGGATTCATTTTCAGGTGGTGGTGTTGCCTGAACCCATTCCTTTTGTGGTCAGACAAGCCCCAGGGCAAGGGACGGACCATTCAAGCAGGGTCAGGACAACAGCCCTGACTCGGGCTCCCATGGAACTGCACAGTAAGGCCCAGAGCAAAAAAAAAAAAAAAAATAAAAAAGCCAACTCTATCACGCAGAGCTGCTGACCATTTCTTCAAATGTTTATGGCCAACATTCGTATCTTTAAGTACACATACACACAGAATCAACCAGAAATGCTGCAACCCAGTAAGGGAAGAAGTGCTTTTCCAGCCTCATGAAACTTAGAAGATCTGTATGAAGAAGTCTTGGGGCTTTCTGAAGGCTTTCTCCAAGAAGCAAAATTGCTTTATCCTCCTAGCCTTCTTCCAGGAAAAATAAAAGTCTGAATATACAGGCTAGGCTAGGAACCAAACATGAACAAGCAGCAGGCACTGTGCTATGGCCTTGCTAGGAGATGATGGCCAAAGAGTCCTTTTCTCAGATACCATAAGGCACTTCATGGTGCAAGGTCACCTAGGGCCAACTACTTGTCTGCCAGCAGACAGGACTATTTCAGTGCTCACTTCTTCCATCCCCACTTTTAAAAAAAAAAAAAAAAAAATTAATTACCCTCTTGCTACTGCTACTTCAAAGAAAGGACAAGAATGCACATGTACTTCTTCCCTGGGCTGAAACACAAGGCAGAAGCCAGTTCTCAAGAACATCTCTGACCATCAGGGATGCACAAAGAGACCAGGCGGGGAGACCTGAGCTTGAGTCCATCCTCCCTCCCCTAAGGCATGCAGCAAGACCCAACTCATCAGCTGTGGTTTCCACTTTCTTTTTGCATTAACACGAGCCCTCTAAAATGTAATTACGTAAACATGCTTTTCCTTGTTACCCTTATAAGCCACCTGGAAGTGAAAAACCCCTCTTTAAAGTCTCCCACGAAGGGGATTCTGGTGCTCAACCACCACCCAACCTTTCCAGCAGAAGGGCTATTGTCACCCTGAGGCTCAACCTCCATCACGGCAATTGAAGCCAAAGTCTGCCTGCTCTCTTTCCCAGATGCCAAGAAACACGATGAGCTGCAGTCCCATGATGGTGAGTTATCCTTTAATGCATCCTGATCAGGTCAGCACGCTCACAGGTCAGCTCAACATCCCTTATCACCACCATGGAACAGTAGAAGACAAGCCATTAAGAAACTTCTCGCTCTGCTGCCTCTAGTCCGAGTTTCTTCAAACGAGGCAGCTGCATCAAACCTTATTCACTCCCACATCCAGGCCAAGATTTTAAGGAGAGCAGCTTCGTTAATCAAGCAACTGGAAAAAAAAAAAAAAAAACAACAACAAGAACAAACAAAAACCCAACCAAAAAACCTCAGCATTGTACTTGGTAAAGAAGCACTTTCCCCATCCTGCTTTCCCCGCGATGCACACGCAAGCTGGGCTCGCTTGCAATCAAAAAACCCAGAGGAAAAACAGCAAATAAAGCTCAATCTCGGACAGTGGAGAGCAACATCAAAGCGAGATGAGTGGCAGAGTGGGACGGATGGAAGTCCCCAGTTCTACATTTAAAACATCTTGAGGTCAATCCACAGTGCCATGGCTTATTTCAAGAAAAAAAAAGAGAAGTAGAGAAGTGTGAGTTTGAACAAGTTTTGTTATTTCAAAACTGTGATGAATAAGAACCTTATTTTTTTCACAACAAAAGCACTCTTTCTGTGGTCTCTCTGAGAACCACATAAAATGGAACCAAATTCAAACCAAGAGCAAAGTTGTCTGCTTGAGCATGCATCCAAACATCATCAGTGCTTCTTTCACTGCTCAGCCCTCCCAAGCAGCAGTGTATTTACCACAACTGTACAGCCCCTGCCTGAGCAAAAAATAGCCATTCTTTTTACTGCTGTCCAGCCATGGAACTTTGTGTTTTTCCTTTTCAGATGAGTATGGAAAGCTGCTTCACTGCCAGACCTTGCTGGTTGCCTTCCTATCATCCAGGTCAGTTCCTGAATTAAACCAGATCCAACTGTTGCACCTCAACTGCAACTCGAGATGCCTTCATGAACATAACCACAAAACTGAACTCGCAGAACAGATCAGGATTTTGCTGTCCAATCCTGAGTCAAATACTTTCCTGCAAATACCAATAGCCAAAATGCAACAGACTGTTTTGCAGACTGATCACATACAAGAAGCCTTCAGGAAGGGCTTCTTGGCTCTAACGAACTAAAAAAATTGGTTCCCACAGAGTTGTCTCAACTGAGACCACCCGAACACCTTTACATACTGACATTTTACACTCCTCATTTGCACTTGGGCTTCACTGAGCACTGCAACACTTTGTGTGATGGGAGTATCGTGCTTAACTGTGAATAAAAGTGATGAAAAATAAATAAATAATAACATAACAAAATTATTTCAGCTTAAAATACATTTAACCCCCAAAATTATCTTCCAACACCAAATGAATCCATTGCACATTACTGGTCGTCTTTGCTGCGCTCCAAAGCGCCAGGTAAAGAAAGCCAAGTGATCGAGCAGGCACTGACCTGACCTTCTCAGTTTTCTTACAGGACCTTTTGGTTCTGCTAAGAGGAATGGAGTAGCCCCTATGAAGAAGCTAATTTTAAAATGTTGGAAGAAATAAATTCAGAAACATGTTACAGAGACATTTTTCTTATTCTTTTCTTTTTATTATCAAAAAAAGCTATTTAAAATTTGGCGTTACTCTAGATCAGACCAGACACTGCCACATCATACTGGGGTTCCTACAGCAGAGACGCCTCATTGACAGCCCCAGCCTCAGGAAAACAAAAGACTGAACTCAGGTGAAGCATAATATTGCAGTTTCTAGTTTTTATACTTTTTTTCTGTAACTGCTTGAAGTTCTGCCATCGCTAACAAGCATTTACTTCCCTGGGCCATGACTGCTTACTTTTTAAGCTCTGTTAGAGGGCTTCAGGACACACGAAGCAGCTGGTGCTCTTGTACATAACAGAATTATCTCAGCAAAATGGTGCTAAAACAAACTCCTGGGGTGCAGGACAACCAGGGAAAGGCCAGGCATCATGGCAAGTACTTGCCCACGGTCCATATTGTAAATCCTTATACTCGGGAGAAACACTTTCTGCAGGTCATCATGATGGAGCACCCTGTTATTCCTGCAACTCCGGCGGCCAAGGCACTGCTCAGCCCTTCTCCTGCCATGTCCCAGGCTCTGGCAAACACATGCTCATTCATTATTACAAATTCTAAGAAGAGGGAGTTTGATTTTATTTGCCTTTTAAACACCATTTCAGTGCTAAGACAGTGTTATTCCCTGTTCCAGTGTGTCTTCTTTTGCTGTACATCATACACAAATTGCTTTCTTTTCCCATACCTCCTTCTGACCCTTTCTCCTCCATACTTTCCCCACTATTCCATGTCCATTATCATTTAGTAAGGGGAAAGCAAGGTGTCTCCACCACCCTCCAAGGTTTGAACTGGACACACCAACTCTGCAAACCAATAGTTGTTAGGACAAGCGAACGGGATGAGAGGATCAAGCTGCAGAGCGCAGGAACAGCCAGGCACTGTTCGGTGCACCAGCACAGCAGCAGCCCTACAGCACACTGCAGTCAACCAAACCCAGATTTAAGTGAGAGTTCAGGCTGGTTCCTTTTTAACAGGATCATTTCCAGCTCTGGCTGTCGTATTGATGCAAGGGATGGAGCTTGCAAGATGCCCATAAGTTTGACCTTCAGCTCCCAAATATCCATCCGTGGTCTTTTTCGCCATTTTATTCCTGTAACATCTGTTGTAATAAACAGTTATCTGGACAAAAAAAAAACCAACCTGAATAACACAAATTTCCTGTGATTAATCGTGGCTATTTTGGGACCACTTCTCACCAGCCTGCAAGCATGATGAAGTTCTGCAAAGCGGCTAGGAATATTAATTCCCTTACACAGCACAGCAGTTCATACTGACCACCGGAGCACATTACAGATCCAGCTCATTTAAGGGGCTGTGCTGCGAGCCATGCAAGATCCAGCTGACTCCGAGATAAGAACTAGAAGGAAACTACTTCTTGCAGGCTCAAGAAATTTGAAGGGCAGCGAGAGATGGGTAAGTGATCATGAGCAAGCGTTTGTTTATCACCTTAAAGAGGGCAGGTATTCCTCAAAATTATATACTGGGCAGCCCTGGGAAGAACAGGAGATATGCACAACTTTGCCAATTTAATTACAGTGTGATTTAAAAAAGGATTTAATTAATCCAGAGCAAAAGACATGCAGACTTGGGGTTTTTTTTGAGCTAAAATAAATCAGGCTTACGTCAGCTTTAAATTAATTAGGAAGAGATAAAAGCTAGAACAAACAAAATTAAGAAAATTCAAGCCATTGA